TCAACTTGAGGGCAACAGGTTTTTATAGGTTAACTACCATGGGGCTAATTGGGCCCCACCGTGGTAGGGACCAAGTGGTGGCACTCAATTGACAAAGACAAGGTGGGTGTGGTTACCGTAATGGACAGTAGAGTCAAAGCAGTAATCAGAATAGTCTGACTCACGTGGACTTATGGCATTCACTACTTAGTCATGGTGTTCCTAGGAGTGAAATAGATAAGAAATCTACTAAAGATTTACTTGATCTATAAAAGTGGAAGAATTCTAGGTCAAGTCAACAGCAGTCTCACTCAAACTGCCAGAATAGAGAGTCCTCTTTCCCCAGCCACTCTCGTCACTGCCCAATGGGCTCAGGAACAAAGTGGCCATGGTGACAGGGATGGAGGTGATGCATGGGCTTAGCAACATGGATTTCCACTCACTGAGGCTAACTTGGCTACAGCCACTGCTGAGTGCCCAATCTGCCAGGAGCACAGACAAATACTGAGTCCCGGATATGACATTGTTTCTCGAGGTGATCAGCTAGCATGCTCATGGAAATCCTCATCCTCATGGAAAGGGCAGCATTTTCTTACTGGAATAAACACTCTAGGTATGGATTTGTCTTCTCTGCACGCAATGCTTCTGGTAAAACTACCATTTGTGGACTTATAGAATGCCTTATCCACCATCATGGAATCCCACACAGCATCACCTGAGATCAAGAGACTCATTTCACAGCAAATGAAGTGTGGCAATAGGCCCATGCTCATGGAATTCACTGGTCTTACCATGTTTCCTGAAGCAGCTGGCTTGATAAAACAATGGGATGGCCTTCTAAAGACACAATCACAGTGCCAACTAGGTGGCAATACCTTGCAGAGTTGGGGCAATGTTCTCCAGGAGGCCGTATATGCTCTAAACCAACATCTAATATATGATGCTGTTTCTCCCATAACCAGGATTCATGGGTTCAGGAATCAAGGGGTGGAAATGGTAGTGGCACCACTCACTATTACTCCTAGTGACCCATTCACAAAATTTTTGCTTCCTGTCCTCTTGACCTTACGCTAGGTAGGTTTAAAGGTCTTAGTTTCAAAGGAAGGAGTACTCCTACCTGGAGACATATCACTGATTCCATTCAACTAGAAGTTAAGAATGACACTTAACTAAGAATGCCACTTGGGCTCCTTATGCCTCTGGATTAATAGACAAAGAAGGCAGTTACCATATTGGCTGGTGTGATTGACCCTGATTACCAAGAGGAAATCAGATTGATATTACATAATGGAAATAAAGAACAGTATGTCTGGAATGCAGGAGATACCTTAGGGTGTCTCTTAGTATTACCATGTACTCTGGTTAAATTCAGTGAAAAACTACAGCAACCCAATTCTGCCATGACTACTAATGGCCCAGACCCTTCAGGAATGAAAGTTTGGGTTACACCCACCAGGCAAAGAACCACAAACAGCTGGGTGCCAGCTGAGGGCAAGGGGAATATGGAATGGGTAGTGGAAGAAGATAGTTCTACATATCAGTTACAACCACGTAACCAGTTGCAGAAGCAAGTACTGTTAATTGTCATGAGTATTTCTGCCTTGTATATGTGAATCAAATACTTTTGTTTTCCTCATTTATAAAGATAAGATATAAACAGGACTAGTGCGTTTAGGTCATCTGTGTGTTAGTTGTATCATGTCAGGCACAAGTATAACTTTATAATTGTCTTTATTCAGAGATTATGTATGGTTTAAGGAGATGTGTACTGATGCCAAGTTGACAGCAGGTGGCCTATGATGGTTAAAGTTGTGTGTCAACTTTGCTGGGATATGATTCTCAGTGGTTTGGAGGTTATGATGTAGTTTGGCAGTCATAATGACGTAATCACCTCCATGATGTGATCTGATGTAATGTGATCACCTCCATGATGGGATCTGCTGTGAGAAGCCAATCAGTTGAAAGGGAGTTTCCTTGGGAGGTGTGGCCTGCATCCAATATATGTGAACTTTCTGGCAAAACTTGCTGGCTTTTGCTCTGCTCTGGATCCTGCATTTGGCTTTTCAGCATCTGACCTCCAGTTCTTGGGACTTGGGCCAGTAGCTTGCCATCGTATCTGCTGACCTTGGCTTTGTCAACCTTCGCAGCCGTGAGTCAGCAGCTTGTGGTCTGACCTGTGTATCTTGAGTTCTTCAGCTCCTCTACTATGTGATTCAGGAGAAGCCTCTAGCCTGACAACTGACACCTCACCTACAGACTTGAGACTTGCTAGCCTCTACTACCACATGAGCCATTTCCTTGAGATATATCTCTCTCTCTATATATAAAAATCCTGTTGCTGTCAAGTTGATTCAGACTCATAGTGACCCTATGGACAGAGTAGAACTGCCCTATAGGGTTTCCAAGGAGCGGCTGGTGGACTGGAACTGCCGACCTTCTGGTGAGCTCTTAACCACTGCACCACCAGGGCTCCTCTCTCTATATATAGAAGGAGCAAAACCAGTGAGGTATGTGTATATATATATATACACCTCACTGGTTTTACTTCTCTAGAGAACCCAGCCTAAGACAGATATGAAGTTGAAACCATTTTTTTTCCTAATTAATAAATGTTTATAACTAAGAGAGTACAAAACATTTGACCAAACACATCCAAAATATACTCATTTTGTCTTTATGGCACCAACATAAATGATAATAAGAGTAAAAATCAATCATATAAATATTTCTGAAATTCATATATTATTTATCTTCTGAAAATTTTCATGGAATGAACTTTTGGAATGACACGGGTATAGTCAAACTGTGACTATACTAACTTACGGGACCCAATTTGCAGCAATGATTCAAAAGTTCAACGCTGAGTAATAACTATACCAATAGGTTGTTATTCTTACAAGGATCTAAACAGAGTCTGACTAAATATATACTCACTAAGTGAAATTGTGGTTGTTAGGTGTTTTTGAGTCTATTCAGTCTCATAGCAACCCCACATGACAGCGTAGAACTGCCCCATAGGGTTTTCTTGGCTGTAATTTTTACAGAAGCAGATCACCAGGTCTTTCTCAAATGTAAATGCAATAAGCATGCTCAATATTCCAAATCGAATGAGTGGATTCCACCTTTCATCTACTCAAAAAGCCAGCATCAGATATTAAATGTCAAAACTACTACTGGGGATGCAAAACTAAAAACTTCTTCCAAGGAAATATTGCATTTGAGTCTGCTAAATTTCTATAGAAGAGCTTTAGGGTGGGAAAACAAGGAATTGTCTCTAGATAAATGTTCTATATAAGTAATTTAACTTCTTTATAGAACAGACATCAGACCAAGACAACCTTTCTCATACAGGTGGATGTGATCTGAATGTCAAGTCAGGTACGAGGTTGCAGGTACCAAATATGGAGTGAAATTTGCTGTCCATTCTAAGGCTTTAGGGTCTGACCCACATGAGTGAACTGAAGCGCCATTCTTTTAATCTCTAGTCATCAATGCTGTTAAACATACACTACCTTAAGTTTTGTGCTAATGGAAGTGTCTCATAAATGTGAATATATCAAAATGCTGTGATTGTTTATGCTCATTTAGTACAGTACACTATAATTTCTATTTGCAGTTCTGTCTTTCCTATAAAATTGTGTTTCTTGAGAGAAAAACCTGTTAGCACAATAGCCACCATGGAGCTGGTGATCAAAGTTCCTGTACTGAGTAGAAATGAATGCGTATTCCTAATTGCAAAGTATATTGTTCCTGTGACAGTTTACTTCAACAGACAAATCACCAATTTCACATTCATCATTCTTTACTAGTGTGTTCAAGGCTATGAAATTTTGCCTATCATGTGTCCCAAGATGCAATAAGTCAGTTTCAAAGATATTTTAACATGCTCAAGAAAAGGAGCTTCTGAGTTAAAGGTCATCACTTTCATGTTAACATTATTATTTTTCAAGACCTTATAGCCACAATAGACTTTATATGGCTTGTCACAATTGAAGCTGAAGAATGTTATTACTGCCATTCAGCTTTTATTAAATAAATAGCATTGCAGAAATACTATTTATATTAACAACAGAAAACAGAATGTCTAAATCACTTAATAAGATTTAGGATTTTTTTTTTATATTCTCACTTTTCCAAAATAGTCCATTTTTTTTCTTTCATTTATAATTCCCTGGAATCTATCAGCCACTGATTCATAGTGTGAGCCTACTCAAAGTCTAAATTTAGATCTCCACCATTCAGCTCTTATGAGAATAAAAAACTGATATTTATAAAGCACTCAAGGTATTTATAGAAAGCAATTTTATACAGATACCATTACTTCTAGACACTATTTTTAATACATTAAGATAACATCATTATGGAAAATTCACATCACTTTTGTTCCAGTAATGTTTATATTAAAAACTATCTGTCTTGAAAGGTAATTTGGGGTATATCAAAAGAGACAAATTGTCTGTAATAAAAAGTCTTTTAAATATATTATAAAGCAATATTTAAGCTTTTAGTTTACCAAAATAAATTTAATATAATTATTATGCCATATATTGATTTAGTTTGCTATCAAAATAGCCATATATTAATAATAAAATTGAAAATATGTAAGTATAACCTATCCAGACAAAGCTCAGCTTACACTGTCCTAAATAAAGAGTCCAAATGATAGTGATTGCAAATGTAGACAGATCTTTCCACATATATTTATCAATTGTTGTTATTAGTTGCAGTCAAGTTGATTCCAACTCATGGTAATCATTAGCGCCAGATACATTGGTAAATAGCAAATTTTGAATTCTAGTAAAACAAAAGCATGCGCTTGATAGTCTAAGTTCAATAACAATCACTTGAAACATGTCCTGTATCTACAGACGAAAGAGGCCACAGTGCATGAGAAGTACGAGAGTGAATAGAGTGAAAGCGACATGGGAATTTCACTTTGTTGTCCTGGGAATTGGGTCATTTATGAGTGCTAAAAATTTCCTCACTGAAGTTCAGAGTATTAATCAGTGTCTTCTACTTACCGGAGGGTCTGCATCTTCAGCATAAACGGTTGTGATAGGTGTACCCTTGACTGCGTCTGGTGCCACCATCCCTTTATAGATTCGTTTACTAAACACTGGAGGATAATCGTTCATATCCTGTAAAACACAATTATGAGTTTAGTTCTTCAGCTGAAACCAGCTTAGAGACACAGTTACTAGATCCACTCCTTCTCTTCATATCACACAATCCATTTGCCACTGTCAGCCTACCATTCTCTCAGTTCCGTTACTCTCACTTCAGACTGGCACCCCAGAGGAAATTGCCAGAGTTCCTATACAATATTAATGTGTGTGATATCAACTGAAGGCCATTCTATTCTAGTAAGCAGTCTGCAACCAAGAAAATACACCTTCTAGAGACTGAAGTGATGCTTATGACAGAAACTTTCTCTAAGATACTTCTAACAGCATGATTTAAAGTTTTAAACTTTGAAAACAAGAACAGATTTCTCAAAAAAGTGTCATTCTATGAGACAAGTGTAGAAAATGATGTTTTTCATTTGTTTTTTTCTTGTGTCTTTTTTTTTTAAGCTTCTATTTGTTTCTGTTGAAAACTGTAAATTATTTTATATACTCAACATAATGCCATGATTGGAACATTTCAAATGCAAACTGTGAAAGAGCCTTTGATGCCTTTTAAAAAATATAAAATGATGAAAGGATGGTTTTACTGTAGCACACTATAATAATGACACATAGAATTAAATACACTTGCAGACCAAAGAAGGCTCTCTGGTTGTGCAGTGGTTAAGCACTTAGCTGACAACTGAAAGGCTGGCAGCTGAAACCCACCAGCCACTCCACAGAAGAAAGACGTGGCAGTCCACTTCCACAAAGATTACAGCCTTGGAAACCCTATAGGGCGGTTCTACTCTGTTCTATAGGATTGCTGTGAGTTGGAATCAACTCAACGGTAATAAGCTTTTTTTATAGACAGAAAATAATGTTAATGTACTTAAAGATTTTTCAAAGCAATTTATATGCATCATTTTATGTTACTTTCACAATTTGCTGCTTTAAGTGTATTATTACTCGCATATGTAACATTAAATAAATATTTGTCAAGTGCTTCTCATTGTTATGACTCAGTGCCAGGCACTGGGCTACTGTGGTGGCTCAAGAAGCTATTCTTGCCTTCATGACACTTAACGGCCATTTAACAGATAAAAACACTAATCCACAGATAGGTTAGTAGCTTTGCCTAAATTAATCTTCTTATGTGACATAGCCAAAATGATAAACCAAGTCCCCTAAGAGCAAAACCATTTTTTTTTTCCTGAACCATTTTATCGCTTCTGGAGAATTGCGTATCAGGCTTTTTCTTTCCTCAATAAAAGATGTTAGTTGACAGTGCTGGTTCATATTTTTAAAATGTACTGTTTTCTAATAAGTATAGCCTGCAGCATTTTGGAGACTTTAGGTCAAGCGTATCTGGCCCTTAGCTCAGTTTCTTAATTATCTATTCCTCCTCTCCAGGCCACCTTTTTCTCACTTGGTATTAAAAACAAAACAAAAAGTTCTTCTACATAGTCTTTGTTATTTGCTCTGATACAACAATTTTCTTGTATAATGTAAATTAGAAATACACTAACGGATCGTAAACTCTTCTTCAAAGAGGTCAGGGTAATTATCTATTACACTCAAATGAGCTTGCTTTTATGTTCACAATAGAGTTGACTTCTGAGTTGTGAATATGAATAAACCTGCAGACTCTAATAAGAGATAGATCTTGAACTGTATGCAAAACTGCAAAATGAAAGAAATATTTCCTTTGTTTTGACATAGAGTATTCACAATCTTTTCTATGAAAAAAGAAGACTTCCTTTTTAAATTATAAATCTTAGAATCTGAACAAGTAAATAAACAGCGCTAGGGAGCACAGTTTCTCTATAATGAGGGCAGTGTTGAGTATTGATCTTAAGGTTCCAGGCAGGGGGTAAATATATAAAACACTTGTTTGCAGACTTTCTCCTGCTTTTTTCAAGAGTGCCAATTAATTTAATGACTTAATCTTGTAACTACAGTGGTGGAAATCCTCTTGCACCCCTTAATTGTAACTTTTGAAAGACAGAAAAGGAACCCAACATTGCAATTTTTTTCCATACATAAACTTCCAAAGTCACGTAGCTCAATATGCTTGCATGTTTTTTTTTTTTTTCTTTCTGTTTTGTTTTCAGGAAAAAATTAAGAACTTAATGCTACAAGGCACCTTTTGGAAAACATGATTTTTCAGAAAAAAATGGCATGCGCTTTGCCAACTATATCAAAACAGCCATTAACGCTGCTGAGTAAACTGGCTTTTTTTGCTGAGAAAGTATTTGCTAGATCCACCCTTTAACGAATGCACAGTGGATGATTTTATAATAGGGCCTCACAAACTGATTAGTCAACAAGCTAAGGCTGTAAATAAATGAATACCATTAACGGATTTAGATTATCCCTCCTTTGTTTGTCTTTGACAGGAGGAAGAATAAATCGATGCAATTTGTGTACCAGTATTTCTTTTTATGGTCCCATGTTCATATTTTGGGGTTACAATCTTATTGTGGTTAAGATGTGAAACAAGTTGCACATAGTTCTTCCACAATACATTATTTCAGATGAGAAGGTTTATTGAAATGCAATGCCACGAGCGTAATCAATAGTTCACTATATTTATACTTCAGGACATCTGAAGAAAAATACATAAATCTGTTTCTGTATAAATGCTCTATTATGCAGCAAATTAAAGATGAGTTCTACTCTCCAAAAGCATACCTTTTTCTGTTGCCTGTTATTCCACTAGAGGGTAGTATTGGCAAAAAGAATTGTTTCCTCTTCAGCTCGCTCCTTAAAATTTTGTCATTAAGACACATAATAGTTTGCTTACCGTGGTTATAATTTCTGTTAGTGTGAATAAAAATTGGTATTCATATTTCAAAAGACTATTCTGAATGTTACCGTGGTTCTCAACTATAACACTACCATGTTCTTCCTAAAGACAAACATTATTATACTAGTAAAGTTTGTAATACATTTCCAGGTATCACACAAATAAAAAATGTGTTTCATTTATTTTCTTCATTAATATCTAAAATAATCACAGAAACCATTTTTATTTTGTTAGACCACAGAGCAGATTTAAGCAATCTTTCAATGCCCACTTGCTGGTGAGTTTACAAATCAATGACAAGTTCAAGTTCCACAAAAAGTAAAGAGAAATCCATAATAAAAATTTTGCTTTTGTGGCATCACAGGTAAAAAGAAAGAGAAAAAAACCAAGCAAAGAAACAAATGAAACTGTTCTTGATAAGAGACTTTTTTTCCTGATATAAGAGAACTAACAAGGTACAGTCAGATCATCTTTTTAAAAATGATGAAAATATGTTGAATATGCACAATGCTGGCTCTTCTTACACTCACGGATGCTCTATGAGGAGACACAGGTGGTATGAGCCAGTGGGTGGGATGCCTTCAGTTAGTTATTCTGTAATACTGTCTAACATAAGCAGTCCCCAGCAAGTTGAACTGTTTGGCTGCTCTGCTCTCCGAAATCCCTTAAGGCTTACTGCGCTGATAGCCCTCTTTCTTGGTAGATGACACAACTATTTTTCCTCTGCCTGTTACCAGTTCTGTGTTGCACTACCAGAAACCCTGTTTGTCCCGATGGCTGTTTCTCAAAGTATCCATCTTCTGCTGGCTTTCTTCTTCTTGGTTTTGCCACTTGGCTTCGTATCTCTTCTGATTTCTCGCCCTTCTCTTATAAGACTTCTGTTAGTAGAGTCAAATAAGACTGCGTCTCCACCCAACCCAATATTTTCTATTTTGCATGGGGCACTCTTAAACATAAATCTTCAAGTTCTCTCAACTTTTTTTGTTCATTAAAACCTGCACCAGAAGCTTCTTGCTTAGCTGCCTATTATTGCTATTTTTTAATGTTTTTTTTTTTTTCCTGAGTTTGGAGCTATTCTGGATTCTTGGGGTAGCATTCCTCATATAGAGGTTATGGAAGTTATGCTTTACCACAAATAGCAAAGTGTACACAATGGCTTTCAGTATCACAAATACTGACGGGACTTCTAATGTGCATCAGACAATATTCTAGATGCTTGGGAATATGGTGGCAGCCAAGAAATGGTGCCTGCTGGTACTGAGCTTATAGTTTAGTGTGGAAAACAGAAATAATTAAATTAACAATTTTGAATGTAATGAATGTTATGAAAGAGGAAGTTCAAGGATGTGATGAGAATGTACAGCAAGGAGTTTAACTAAATTTAACATAGGATTGTCCTCAGTTGCCTGTGCCCTGTTTACTTGTGTACTCTGGCAAGTAAAATAGAACTTCAAGATAGATGGCTATTTGATCAAAGACTCTGTAGAAGAATCCTAATGAAAAAGGGGAAAATGCAGAACAGGATTTCAAATTATCATGGGCTCTTGACTTTCTGGAGCCATGGAGGGTGACTGAATCCTTAAATTATTGCTCTGAGATAATCTTTAAACCTCAAACCAAAAATATCTCCTGAAGTCTTCTTAAAACCAAATAATAGTTTAGGTTAACCGGTAAAGAATGTCTGCCTGGAGCATTGTGCTCTTTCAAGATTTATCTATATAGGATCAAACTGACAACAGCAACTCAAAAGATTAGATAGGAAACTTAGCGAGCAGTGAGTTTTTGTTAGTGGGGGAGGTACAATTCAGACAAGGAGGGTGAGAATGGTTGCACAACTCGAAGAATGTAATCAGTGTTACTGAATTGTATTCTTAGATTGTCTCCTTTTCCTTTCCTCATTTTTCCTTCTTCTTTTCTCTCTCTCAGTTTCTGACTAGCTCTGACTTTTTAACCATTCAAACTCTAGTCAAGGACAGAAAGAATATAGTTTTAAATTTGTATTTTCTCCCCTAGGACCAGATAAAACATTTTACTTTTATTTTATATCACTTAAGAAATAGAGGATACCAGTTGTCCCTTAATCCTTCCTTTGGAAATCATGGTTTAGGAAAAAGAGGTACCAAAAAAAAAAAAAAAAGTTGATTCCCCAAGAGATTTTGATAGTTCAAATTCCTCTTCCCAAAGACAACCTAAGGGCTGAGCAAAATACTGATGAGTGAAAGCATTTTAACTACCTGAAAAGATGTATTTCCTACCCACTGAAACAGATACATTTCTTAAAACAGACACAAAATGGAAGAAGTCAGTTATTGTGGGCACCTGAGAAAGAAGAAACCCAGGCAGCTTTAGGGCATCTAAGAGTGGAAGTGACTTATGTTTCCCTTTCCAAGGTAGAATTTAGGAAAGAAATGATATCATGTACATGCCAGCAGATAGGTCTGGGCAAGGTGTAAAGAGAAGGCAGTGGCATAATTCCTGTGCACCACTCTGATTACAAGATTATCTAAACTAAGGCAAGACCCAAAGATCGTATAGTCAGGAACACTGATCTACGTGATAAATACAGTTATGCTAATTGTATGTTGGCGAACTCTGTAACAATTTTGTGTGTTTTCATATAAATATTTTATTACCAAGAAAAATTAATAGCAAAAATTAGGTTATTCATCAGTTAAACAAGCAAACAAAAACCCAAGAAACATGATTATTTCTTATTCCATCAATTACACATTTGTAGTGTCATATAGAAATGAGCATTGTAGGAAAGTTGCCTACGAACTTGCGTATTTATTACCCTATACACAGATAACCCTCTACTGAAAGCACCCTTCAAGAATTGGAATTGTTCCAGAGCTTTCTCTTATTCTAGGCAGGAATGTAATGCACCTTTCAAAAGTTTTTAGGTAGCCAACAAACACCCGATGATGTGAAATTTTCTTAAAAAATTATCATAGGTTAATTCAGCTAAACAACTCATCTCACACCATTAGACTCTAATTCCAGGCATCTCAAGATAATAAGTTAAAAGGAACTCATGGGAACCAATTCAACTTGAAAATGTAATAGCAACAAAGTTTAAATGAATATAGGTGCCTATTATTTCTGCATAATATCCAGGATCAAATAAATTAATAAAACTGGTGAGCCAAGTAACCATAATCCCATTCAGCTATTATACATTTCTAGCGATTCATAATGACTACAAAATGTATAAATAATTCCACTGTAGAGTAGACCAATGTGTGGTTGACAATTATTGTATTCCAATTCAACTGTATGTACCTATAACTACACATTCAAAACTCATACAAACTTGCACCATTTATCTAAGTTCATAGGTTTTTTCATTCATTTTTTACTCAGGAACTTGGTCTCAGCCCTCTCCTGGGAAAATCTGAGCCATAATCATCAATCATATATTTTTTTGGTAGAACATAGTGACATATGTGAATAAAATGTGAATCAAAATATCTGTATTAATAGTGAAATTCTTTTTTAGTGAATTAATTACTCCCATTCTTCTATTTTATTCATGGACTTACTGAAACTTTCCATAAGCTTCTTTGTAAAGTGCTTTGTTTATCATATAGATTGTCTCCTTTCCTTTCCTCATTTTTCCTTCTTCTTTTCTCTCTCTCAGTTTCTGACTAGCTCTGACTTTTTAACCATTCAAACTTTAGTCAAGGACAGAAAAGCACTTTAAGAATATAGTTTTAAATTTGTATTTTCTCCCCTAGTACCAGATAAAACATTTTACTTCCATGTACTATGATTATAAAAGCACTTTTATTTTATATCACCTAAGAAATAGAGGACATTTAAAGTCATTTTTTAGTACCATAACCAATTAATACAATGACTCAAGGAGTTTATTCACGTATACATGAAACGGAAGTGTTTCTCCATGTGTGATACTCAGATATCGGTATCAGAATCATCTGTGTGCTGTTCTCTAATGTTGCTATGATGCTTCCCATGGGAAAGGTGGTCCACTGGGGAAGGAGCATAGGTATCTGTGATGATTAAGGTTATATGTCAACTTGGCTAGGCCATGATTTCAGTGGTTTGGCAAATATTGTGTCATCATTCTCCATTTTGTGATATGATGTGAGCAGCCAATCAGTTAAAAGAGGAGTTTTCTTGGGGTGTGGCCTGCATCCAATACATATGGTATGTTCTGGCAAAGCCCCCTCTTCCTTAATCTTGCATTTGATCCTGCATTCACCTTGTCATCCTCTGACTTCTGGTTCTCGGGATGTGAGCCAGCAGCCTGCTGCCTGACCTGCAGATTTTGGATTTTCCAGTTTCCACAACCCCATGAGCTAGCAACCTGCCCGCTGACCTGCAGATTTTGAGTTCATCAGCCCCTGCTACCACCTGAGTCAGGAGAAGCCTCCAGCCTGCCACCTGATCCATTGATTTGGGACTTCCCAGCCTCCACAATTTCATGAGCTATTTCCTTGAAATAAATCTCTGTCTATGTATTTATGGGTCCTTGGTGGCACAGTGGTTAAGAGTTCAGCTACTAACCAAAAGGTTGGCAGTTTGAATCCACCAGCTGCTCCTTGGAAACCCTATGGGGCAGTTCTACTCTGTCCTATACAGTCACTATGAGTCATAATTGACTCTACAGCAATGAGTTTTTTTTTTTTTTTTGGTATGTATATTTATATATATGCTTCACTGGTTTTGCTCCTCTAGAGAACCCAGCCTAAGACAGCATCTGAAAGCTTAGCATGCAGCCCAGGTGATCCTTATATACACTAATATTTGAGAACTGATGAATTTACATGGCCTTTTCTTAGGTCTTCTTTTATTTACAGCCTAAGGTATGCTTTAAAAATTGCTAGAAATCTCAGTGGTTGGAGACATCCATGGTAGTTCTGGCAATCACCTGGCACAAGGTACTATAATGAATGAGATAACAGACCTGTAGATGTTAACAAAGTCCCCATGATCTTCAAAACGGCTGAGCCAGAACGTAAACCCAATTTTGTCTGACTACAAAGCTTATTTTATTTTGGTCTTGGGTTTGCAAACAAAACTACACTAATTTGTTCTGATGCCTTAGAGCTCTTCATCTTTCAGAGTCAAGTTTTTTTTTTTTCATTTATGGTTTGGGTTAAGTTATTATTACTGCTGCCGTATAATTTCGGCCAAACTATAGGCCAAAGTAATTATGACTTGAAGTCACCGTAGCTAATTGCAGAATCAGGTAGCTAGTCTTTGAACTCTTTTTTAGTGCCTCTTTCAAATTTGTCTTTTATTGTTAAATAATATAGTTATTTGTCAAGTTTTTATAAGCTACTTCACATTCAAAAATCCATGCCCTAGGTCTGGTACCACTGTTGTACTATGAATTGTTGCCGAAATCTTTTATAGTGACAATATAAAAAACAGAAGGTACATGTAGAGAAAGCAAAAGTAGGCAACCAGAACAAACCAAAAAACCAAACCCACTGCCGTCGAGCCAACTCCAACTCAGTGACCCTACAGGACAGAATAGAACTGCCCCATAAGAGTTTCCAAGTCTGTAAAACTTGGAAATCTGCCACATCTTTCTCCCCCCAAGCAGCTGGTGGGTTGAAACCAACGACCTTTTTGTTAGCAGCCAAGCGCTTTAACTACTACACTACCAGAACTCCTTAGGCAACCAGAAAGGAAGGTATATTCCTTACCTTCACTATCACTGTGACAGTAGCAATACCAGGTGGCATTGTTCCATAAATATCAAAGGCCTCCACCAGAAAAGTGATAGTTGCTTCTTGTCCTGGAAATGCCTCATAGTCCAAACTCCTTAAAAGGGATAGTTCTCCTGTAAATGGATGTAGTGCAAAAAAGTGCTTCACTTCTGGGCCTCTTATCCGATAAGACACATTTGCTCCAAGGTCAACATCTTTGGCCTGTAATGAGTTAAGCAAAGGATGGTCATATCAACGGTGTTAACAAAACAGAGTAATACAGGATTGATGTAAGTCACGTGACAGTGCCCAGGATGGCATGAATGTAACGATGACCAAAAGGCATGTTTTTAGAATAAAGCAATTTAGTTAAGCAATTAGAGGGGAGAGAGAGAAAAGGGAGAGACTCATGAGATTTTGTCAGAGTTGATTTTATTTCTGTATCTATTTTACTTGAAAAAACACTAATTAAAACATTTATATACAATAGTAAAGGAATAAATAAGGAGCCCCAGTGGTACAATGGTTACAGTGTTCAGCTGCTAACTGGAAGATCAGTTAACCCACCAGTCACTCTGTGGGAGAAAGATGTGGCAGCCTGCTTTCGGAAAGATTTACAGCCTTGGAAATCTTATGCTGCAGTTCTACTCCGTCCTATAGGGTCACTATGAGTTGGAACCGACTCCACGGCAATGCTTTTTTTTTGCTTAAATGAATATTTGTTCATTTGAATTATGGAAGATTTAAATACTGGCTCTTGAAACTGTGCTACCAACATTCAAGTTGTGGATTGCAGATGTGGGAGGGACTAGAGTATTTGGTTTTTTTCCAGAATATATTCATATATCACCGGTGTCAGAATCAAACAGGGGTGGTTGTTAAAAATGCAGATTCTGGGCCAATAAATCCTACTAAATCAGAATGTCCAGAGTTTCTGTTAATGTGATAGTTTAGAATAGAGAAGAGATATATATAGGTACCAAACCAAAAACCTTTCAGTTAGCAACCAAGTGCTTTAACCACTGCATCACCATGGCTTCTTATATATAGGTGAATACTATTAAAAAGGAGAGTTAGACCCCTGGTAGAATGCCTGTTGTATTTTAAAAGTGAAAACAAAAAAAAAGAGAATAATACATATAGTAATATCCCATGTTTGCACATATCCATATGTACATGTATAATATAATATATATAATTTTTCTGAGTACAAAGATAAATATGAAAGAATATACATGAAATTTAATACTGAGTATTTGGATGCATGAGGAGGTGGAAGATATTGGCTTTTTCTTTATAGACCATTATATTTTCTGAATTGTTACAAAAAACATACAGAATTATTTTTGTATATTAAAAAAAATCTACACACAAAATGTGTTATTTTATTTCTTACAAGTGTACCTTTTCTCCCCTTAAATTTTGGGATATCCATAAAGTAGGGTTGCTGGATAAAACACAATACATACTAATACATAAAATTTATTTATTGTTTATCTGAAATTTAAATTTAAATGAGGGTCTTGTATTTTTATTTGCTAAATCTGACAACCCTATCATGCAGAATTTATGACATTAATGCTTCTTTCACACACCTCTATTCGAAGGAAGGTGGTCCCAGCTGGCAGATTTTCTTCAACGATGACAGTGTAAGTTGAATTGGTGAACACGGGACTATTATCGTCAATATCCAAAACCTTGATAGCCAGCGTTAGGGTTGAATGACGAGGGTGTACCGCTCCATCAGTTGCCACAACAACAAGTTCATAGTAGTCCCTGACTTCTCTGTTAAGTTTCACTGCTGTGTAAATGCTCCCATTAGATGTAATGCGAAAAAGATTATTGAAGTTACCCAAACTATAGTACACTTGGCCATTTATTCCAGCATCTGGGTCTGTTGCCTAAACAAAATGAAAAACAAAGAAATTCATATAATAAATTTTGTTATGCTGCTGGTAAATATTGTCTTGCCAGAGGGGAGAGTTAATGGATTATGGCATATTTCTAATCAAATATATATATATATATATTTCATTAAGGAGAAAATTTTTAAAAGATAATGACAATACAATGTAAAGTCTAAAACAGGAAAATAAATATACTGTTTAATTAATGTTGTCTATTCAAATGAGAATATATTAATGACAAAACTAATTATGACAGAGAAAACAACCCATAATACAAAAATACTGAATTTTTTCCTGTATTATCTTTTCTTTAATTGATTTTAAATTCTAAAATAAGAAAAACATATATTTAGTTCTTAATTTAACATAATTTTATTGAGTGACAACTTAAGATTCTATAGTTGTTTCCTGTTTCTGAACTTTATGCTATATTGTTATCTCATTGAATTCTCATTATGTTCTTATAGGTAAATATCATTGGTCTCATTTTACAAATGAGAAAACTGTAGTTTATTGAATTTAATTATATTTTGTAGGGTTATACAGAAATAGAAAACTATCTCAGTGCTCCTGTTCTTAGTGCAATGCCTCACATATTAAAAAAAAACAACTAATAAATAATTATGGGATTAATGAATGTCAGATTGAATGGAACTGAGATTTGAAACTATGTCTTCTTTAAAACCCAAAACCAAAGTACATGTACAGTGTTATGAATTGAACTGTATTTTTCAAAATGATATGTTGAAGCCCTAACTTCTGGTACCTGTGAATGTGACCTTGTTTGGAAATAGGGCCTTTGAAGGTCTCATTCCCTACCATGAGATCATACTGGAGTGAGGTGGCTCCTAATCCAATCTGAGTGGTATCCTTGTAAGAAAGGAGAAAATACACAGACAAAGATGAAGGGAAGATGCTCAAGTGAAGACAAAGGCATAGATTGGAGTGATCTACAAGCCAAGGAAGTCCAAGGATTATTTGAGTCACCAGAAGTTAGGAGAGAGGCATGGGACAGATTTTCCCTCAGAGCCCTCAAAAGGGATCAACACAGCTGACACTCTGATTTCTGACTCCTAGTCTCCAGAACTATGAGTCACTAAATTCTATGAGTTAAAATTGACTCAATGGCAACTGGTTTGTTTTTCTTTAGTATAAATCACCCAATTTGTGGTGATTTATGAATGCAGCCTGAGGGAACTAATACGTACAGTAAATGGGAAATACTATAGATGGGCTCTTCTTTAATATTAATATACAAATCTCCAAATAGTAACAGAATTGTTGATACTATATAAACTTATATTCACCGAAAACTTTAAGTCATAAAATCACTTTGCATCAAATAAAAGCAACTGAGTATTGAGTAAATTTTATCATTGAATTTTGTGATAATTTATCTTCCCTAAAATAATTAACTATGATATAAACTATAATATTTTACCATCAAATACTGTGCATTTTGTATTGAATAACTCTATAACTGGAATCTATCTTAGAAGCTGTGAAATGTTATATAATTATGCCTCAAACTTTCACCAAGGAAAGGAGGAAAAACAAAACGCTTGGTTTCATTATGAGCCAGGGACACAATAATCACTTAATGTCCACAAAACCTGAAAAGCTGTATTTTCTCTTCTTTAACAGCATATGCGTAGCCACATATCCAGCTTCACAAACACTGATAGGTGGGGTTCCTGAATGCTTGCGCCTTGTTTGAAATGATAAGGTCTAAGATGTGAAAAACATATAACTATGCTCCTTCTCTAGATCTTAATTCCAGACATTCCAGCAGAATTTGTTCCTTTTACTCATTAAAATGCAAATGAGAATCCTGAAACCCTAAGCATCAAATGAAGAGATAAATAACTCAGCCAAGCACTGAAGGAAATAAGAAACTGACCGAGAACAGAGAGCGAGGAGAGATACATGTAGATGTCCCCTATCAGGTACCGCAGCACGGATCCACTATCTTGGACTATTATCGGATATCAGTGAACAGGGGGTACGAGAAAGCAGCTTCACAGAGCTTCCAGCAGGAGATAGAACAACCAGTAACCAGCGATATAGGCTTTCCCATCCCCCCACCCTTCTTCACCCCTACATAGCCTCCTCTCCTTCCTGCAGCCACAGTCTCTTGTCTGGGAAGCACCAGCTTCACCCTGGTGTCACTTGGATTCCATCTGCCCGCACTGGCCAGCTCCCTGAGTGCCTTTTGTTGGCTGCTGGTGTTGCTTTTTTCTGCTTCTTTAGACTTCTTCCTTACCTCTCACCACCTCCCCCTCCTTTCTCTCAAATACCTGGCTCCGTGCACCATCTTTGCTTCTTCCTGAAAGGCTGCGAAACACCGCTTGACTGTGAAACTGCTTCACAGCCTGTGCCACCACGGTGGTGGAATCCCTGGGGCTTTTTTGTTTGTTTGCTCTGATTTATTCTGCTTTGATTTGTTTGTTTGTTTTCTTTTTCTTTTCTCGGCTTGGGAGCCCCTTCTAGCCAGGCAGTACCATACGGCTTGGAAGCTACTCCCTTACTCTGTGCAGACGTACAGGGACATCCCTGGGGGCATTTCTTTTCTCTTGTTTTTCTTTTTTTTTTCTTTTTTTGGTTTTGCTTTTTTTGTGTTTTTGTGGGTTTTTTTGTTTCTTTGTTTTGTTTTCTTCTCTCTCTTATTCCGTTTTTGTCTTTCTTCATTTCCAGTCTCTTAATTTATTCATTTTTTTATTTTACTGTTTGTCTTTTTTTTTTTTTATTTTTGTTTTTCCCCATTTCTCAGTCATTCATCTCTCCACTCCAACAGAAAGCTCCCTTAGCACTCTTTTTTGTTTGTGTTTACGTTTTTGGCTCCTGTTCCTCTCTTCCCTCTTTCATCTTTCCCATACCCATCTTAGCGCCACACATTACAATCTACCCCCCACCCCATTCCTGCCTAGCTGCACCGTGTGCTGAACATCACACTCTGAAGCAGCAAAGGCACGGCCTACTGGAACCTGCCCTGCACTGATTCGTGGTCCACACTGTCAGCCCTGGTACATGCCACAAGCAATCCATCCCTGTAACTCACCTTCAGCTGGACCTGTCCTGCTCTACCATACCTGAGTGACTGACCCTGCCCATTGGAGAAGGAGGTGAAAAGTATCATGCTCACAGACAAGCAAACAACAAAGAACGCACAGCCCACCTGCTCAGACACAACAAAATAAAACAAAAAAGCAGGAAGAAACAAACATATCTACACTCAATAAACAAGGAAAATAACCACTGAATGCCCTGAAGAGAGCAGACAATATCCAAACTTTTTCAAAAACAGGAAAGGATGGTTCCAGTAACAGTTCAAAATAAAACACCAGATGACCTTCCAGTAGAAGAAAAGGCACTAGACCTAACTGATAGGGAATTCAAATCTCTACTATTCAGAATTATCCAAGAGTTGAAGCACAAAGCAGACAAAAATGAGGAAAA